ATTCAATGTTGATAGATCTAGAAATGCAGGGTATTGCTGTTCCCTTTCCAGCTGCATCTAGTGGAAGCTATTTACCAGCAATCTAATTTTTCCCCTGCAATTTGAGGAAATGTAGCATAATATTTATTTCTCAAAAAGAAAGAAAATGAAACGCAGCTCTTTTATTAGCATTATGAACAAACCACTTTCCATTTGAAACCTAACTTGTATAAACAACTAGGGACCATTATGCTTTTACCTGCTATTATGCTCAGTATTGTTGGTTATAGTTTATATATATTCTTTGTAATATATTGAGTTATCTTGTTGATATTTTTATTTTCTTTTTGCCCAAAGAAATGAACTTACCAGAGCCACAATCATATTGAAGAATAAACCGAATGGCTGAAAGTGTAGAAATGTTACAACATATTTTTCTGTCCTGGTATGGTATATCATATAGTGTGGCGATTTCTGTTTCCATTTAAATATGAGTTTATACTTTATAACATATGTCTGTGTACACACACACACACACACACACGTTTATCAGGAATAGTTCTTTCTTTGGTTCCTATTCCTATTTGTAGTAAATCAGTATTTCCAACAGTCCCCTCCCCCCCACATTTTTCTACTATGAAGAAAATACTAAAAATTGGTTCTTTGAATTGCAAGACTTTGCACCACCAAAGTGTGTATAGTAATATTTCCCAGCATGCAATTTTCCAGACTTTCCAGAATGGCCCAGAACTGAGGCAGTTTTTATATCCAAAATATCCCAAGTTACATTAACCTGCACTCCGAAAGCATCAGCCTGGGCTTGGAATAAATGTGGTCTTCTGCGCACTGAGCAGAGAGTAATTCCTATTTAATTCAGTGGGACTTACTTCCCATAGATAGAATATGCCTAGAGTTAAGCTTTAAAGTCTTACAAAACCAAAACCAACCAACCTCAAATCATTAGAGCTTTGCATTTATAAAAAATGTATAGGATTCATGGAAACACTCCCCCATTTACCTCAATTTTCTTTATGAAAATCAGAAGCATGAATCAGAAACTTGAATCAGAAAATCATAATTTGATCAAGGTATCAGAAAATGGTTTAAAAGAAAAACTCCTTTCAGGCATCTCTTAAAAGGTTTTTGTTCAGTCGCTAAGTTGTGTCTGACTCTTTGCAACCCCATGGACCATAGCATGCCAGGTTCTCCTCTCCTCCGCTGTATCTCAGTTTGCCCAAATTCATGTTCATTGCATCTATGACACTATCTACAATCTCATCCTCTGCCATCCCCTTCTCCTTTTGCCTTCAATCTTTCCCAACTCTAAAGAGGTAGTAGATTCCATACCTGAAAGAGAGAGTCCAAAGAAGATCATGGATCATCCCATCCACTCCAGTCAATCCAAGATTAGACTCTCCCGGTCTTGACTGTGAAGTGTGCGTACCATTAAAATAACACTTGTCAGCACACAGAGCTGTAAGTTTAAGTTGCTAGATTGTTCCTCATCATTGTTCATCTGGCTGATGCTATTGGGAGTTTTCATTCATTATTAAAAGGCTATGGATTCTCATCTTTACATAATGAAGAATAACTAATTATCTTCTTTCAGTTTATCCAATCCCTAGCCTTTGATCCAACTGCTGTCTATCATGCAAGGGTGAACATATTGTCCTACAGATATTTAAGATGATCCACATGCCAGTAGTCTTAACCAGTATAGCTGTTAGTGACTGAAAATTGTAGAATTTGTATTTCCAATTACCTAGAAGGCACCAGATTTTAAAATGATTGTTTGGGACAACTCTTTCAGATTTGCAATTCCTATGCTTTAAGACTCTTTTTGCACAGTCCTCTCATATATCATGTATGAATTCTAGCTGAAGTTTTAATTCAAATGAGAAGTCCCTGGAGTTTTCAGATGCATCTATTGGCAGCTCAGGGAATTACTCCTATCAGTATATCACACTTGAAGCCAATTGCACAGTTTAAAGCTTGATTGCAGAATTTAAAGTTATCAGGAAAAGGCATTCCCAAATGATTCCTGGCACTTCACAATCGGTGGCACAAGGAGCAACAAAGCAATATGCTAATATCAGGCCAGAATACTGTCTATTTCAAATGACGCTCATCTTACCACCACCAGCAGGCAAGCAATGCTATGGAAATTTAGTTAATTGCAGCTTTGTCATTTGCCAGTCTTATTTTAGTCTGCAATGATTTTATTTCAGCTGTTGACCTATGTGACCTACTTTACAAAGTGCATTTTTACTGGTGGAATTTCAAAGTGATGGGAACATGTGATGTAATTTGGCCATGTGCAGTACACAATGTGGAGATTTCTAACATTCCAGGAATCAAATAGAGTGAATCACACATAACAGAAAACAGGCCTATTAAATTTTAAGAGTTGATGGGAAGCAGCATCATAAAGTCATTACAATTTTAAGGGGGGGAAAGTGCATACAGGCCCTGAGTTGCTGCAGTTGAATAGAATAGAATAGAATCTGGAAGGGACCTTGGAGGTCTTCTAGTCCAGCCCCCTATATCATTTCAGACAAGTGACTGTCTAGTCTCTTCTTGAAAATCTCCAGTGATGGAGCGCCCACAATTTCTGAAGGCAAGCTGTTCCATTAGTTAATTGTCCTCACTGTTAGTTAGCAAATCTATCTTAATGAACCTCTTGTAATGAATCATTATGTAGAAATATTTCATATATTTTGGGTCTTTCAGATATTGCTTGACTTTGCTCTGCTGGCTTGGAATAATAAGACTTGACATTCAGAGAGCTAAAGGGTCCACTTTCTTTTTAAAAAAAAGAAAAAAAGAATTGAGCTTCAGAATAGCAATCAAAGTGAGATCCATGTGTCAAACAACTTTATACATTGTTCAGCTTCATTTCCCACTGAACTAAATCCAAACAGAAAGGTAATGGCAAGGAGGTATGTATGCGATTAAACCCTTCAATTAGAAGTGGTATTCACTACCCACATGTTGGCATTATGTGATTCCCTTTTCACCTTAAAATAGCAAGAAAATTTATAAACTAACCACTGCAAGATTACAATCCCAGTAGACGGCGCTTTGGATGTTTTGCTAATAATTTTGATTACATAAATAATAGAGGAAATACTTTGGTTTTAGCTAGGATCTCATGTATGGTTATTGGATTTCCTAAACTAACATGCAATTTTATATTCAAAGTGGCTTTTCCCCAAATAAACATAGATAAAATTGCAGCTCTGGTTTGGTAATTCTTTGAACATTTCCAGAGCAACATGGAACACGTTCTTTTTGAAAACACCACTGAAGGCTGCCACTGCTAGTGTTGCAAACATAACTGCTAACTACCATATATTGGCTTTTTGCTTTAATAGCCTTTTAACCAACTTTCTTAATGGACTGAATACAATTTAGATATAGAACTTGGCTAAAACGTAGCTTCAATTGGCTATTAAAATTTAAGAGCCAACTTAGCTAATTACAAAAAATAAGAGGAAGAGAGAGTGAGCTCTGGTGATAATGCTAAGCAGAGTAAGTAATAGCAAATGACAGTCTGTCTGGTCTTATTCTCAAGAGAAGATAAAACTTTTAACTGAGAAGTCAACCAGACAATACACAACCTTTTCCCTCATCACCCTCCACCAATTCTAATATTATTAATGGTGTTATGGCATGTCAAATCTGACAGCTCATTCAAATTTGAATTTTAGCGTATCACTTAAAGTAGCAAACTGAATATGAATTTATATATACAAACACTGAATTGTTTGTGTGTGTGTAGTCTGTATATATGCAAAATTACTGTATGATGCCATATAGCTGTATTATCTCACTATTTTAATCATTGTTAAAAATCAATACAAATAAAGAAAATAAAATTACAAAGCAGGCAAGGTTTGTACATGGTTAAAAAAAAAATAAACTAAACTATGCTTGTAATTAAATTAAATTCTCCCTGCAGATATTTTAGAAGATAGGAAAGTAAACGAGGATCTGCTGAATGTTTGCCACTAAAAGAACTGTTGAACGATTCATTATCAATACTCTCATTACACCATCAGTTGAAGAGCAAACTAGCTCTCCCGTGAAAATTTCTTATGTATGGTGACCACTATGAAAAGGGACAAGGGAAAAAAAAAATCCCAAGTATGTGGCGTTGTCTTTAATATTCCTTGACTCAAGTGTCTCCCTGCTGTGCCTGTAAATGTCAGTCCGGTTTTTTCATGGCTGCGTGCACAGATTAGAAACAGCAGGAGAGCTTGGGAATATGACTACAATACCGGTAAGGACTCTCGTCTTCATGGCACTGCTCAAGTAATTCTTGGAATGCAGGACCCTGCTGTTTTCTAATATTTACACACAACTGGAGTCATCAAGAGCAGTAAATGCAGGCTATAAGGAAAGCTTACTTTCTTTGTGTAAGGGACTTTGCATTCAAATCAGGACTCCCAAGAGCTGCCACCCCTTCTCCACCACCACCCCCGCTCAAAAATGCAGGTTATTGCAATATTTTTAACATTGTCAAGTGCTTTTCCAGTCTCTCGTTGCTTCTTTAAAGCACCAGAGCTCCTAGGAAACATACTTGTTTGTTCTTGAAGCTTCTCCATGGATAGACAAACTTCCTGGTCTTTATCTTCAAAAATCACATTCCCTGCCTGGATCTATCTTCAGTCCCAACATTCCCTTTCTTATAATTTCCACTCATCCAGCTGTAATATATTTTCCCATCTTCTGTTCCTTGAAATGATTTAGAGATTTATCCCTTGCTAATCCATGTTTGGAAGTGCCTCTATTTCTCTTCTACCAACCCATTGCTCAAATCTCACATTTTAAAGGAAGCATTGGGAAAATTGATATCCTATTCCAATTAAGCCAAAGTATGTATCTTTGAACTAACAGTACATTCTTCCTGTTCCTCCTTTTTATTACTTTTTTAGACAATAAAATTGCAAGTATAGGTTTGAGCCAGACTGTGGTTACACACATATGCACACAAATGCGACCAACAACTTATAATTAAATTTTCAAGATTTATTTTGCACAGACATTATTTCCTTTTTATTCAAGTTTATACAAAGTAACTAAATGCAAGAATGTGCAAAGAAATGCCAAAATACTCTGAAACATTTGTAAAATCATACTAAACGGTACGTTCTGCATATAAGATTTAAAAACTTTTATTTCTTCAAGCTAGCAGTATATTGCAAGTTTATGTATGTTTAAACATAAACAGATACAAAAGGGGAGAAAGCCAAGTGCTACTGTAATAAGTAAAATTCAAAGGAAAAAATAACAAGAACCCACTACTCAGTGCAAGTAGGAAACTCAGGTTATTCTGGATTTTTTAGCTTCTGAACTCTCTTCCTTGGTTTCAAGTTTGTCTTGGTTTTGGGTGAGATCTTCTGTAATTTGGGTTTGGTGGCTCCAATCTCTATAGTTATTATGAATAAAGACAATTTCATTATTAAACAGACAGTTCACAGAAATTCTGAATTTAATCAAATACGTTTTACTTACTAATACTTTATAATCCACTTCAAATTCAGGATATTAATAACTCTAAAGAAATGGTATTCCTAGCGACACAAACTATATTTGATTGGAGCACATGAAATTCTCCATTCCTTCTTGTACAATTGGTTTATTCTTATCCAATCACATACATACCTTTGGTTTTTCAGAATTTTCTCCGGAATTATTATTAAATTCAAGTAACACAAATGAAAATTTTAAAACTGAGTTTTATAAGTCTTTGCTTAAAGAAATTAGCTTAACCTATTACAAAATAAAATTGCCTATGGGGTGTACACTTAATAAAACTAAAATTGAATGCAAACATTATTTGAGGTGTGTTACAATGGCATCCTCCTGAGAGGCACTGATGGAACTAGAGTTCCAGCAAATGCTGCCATCAATTAGAGAGGGCCAATTTCTTAATATCCCATGTAATATGTGCTTCTGCCCACATTCCAAGGAAATTATAGAAGATTTTACACAATATTTATTGTACTGTACTATTTCTGCTTCAGCATGCAGAAAATTTTTGGAGCCCCTCTTGATAGAAAAATCATTTTGGCCTGAGTCACATCAAATTGAATATTTAATGAATTTAGACAAGGAGCTATCACTATGGAGGCTAGCAAGCTTTGCGCAGGCTGCTGCTAAACAGAGATGATTTCATTCCAAATTCCCAATATTTCTCCATTTCATCTGCTATAACAGCTTTAATATTCTTATTGATTTCCGCACAATATAATGTATTTTCTTAAAGTATGGATACTTTTATGTAGGTTGAATATATTTGGCATGGCTGGTGATCAAAAATATAAACATATTAAATTGAATTGAATATTTGATTGGAACAAGGAACTGGCAACCCATCAACAGTAAATATCTAGCCAACTTCCTCTGGCTCCAGCAAAATAAATTTCCTGAAGGGACAAAAAATGTCAAGAAGGAAAAAATGATTTTGAAGACAGAAGCAATAGTGGAACTGCTTATTCTGACCTACGTTGTTTGTACTCAAGTTTTAAGTCTTACTCCAGCAACTGATGTGGAAAATGAAGTAAACAGCTGTGCTTTCAGTTTGATTGCTCAAATGGAAGCAAAGGGAACATTTGTCTATAGCCACAACAACAAATGTGTGCTTCCCATGCATCCACATAAACTACTAGCCTTGAAATGGAGAGGAAGATACACCTACTGAAAAAATATAAACTGTCTTGAAGCAATGTTGAAATACTTCAGTTTAGCTCTCTATCCTTAAGTGAATTTTGCATCTAGTCAAAAGCGTTGAGTTTTCCATATATATTATTAATGTTGGATAAATACAGAAAAACATACATTTTAGTTGTAGTTAAGAAAGAGATTCTTCTTAAATCTGATTTTAAAGAAATTTGAGGTATATTCTTAACACATATAGGCAGTACTATTTTCCATATCTGTAATAGGAAATTGGATCAAAGAGCTTGTTCAGAAAGTACCTTAATGCATTTCAATAATACTTGCGTTATCTCAATATCTAAATTAATATTCACTAAAATTCAGACCTTTCATGCTGATATGAGTTTCACATATAATTCCAGACTGTAATTAGACTCCTAAGTTAGAATTATTCCTTATGTGGTTTTTGGGGATGTAATAATGCCTTGAAAATATATTGCCCAAGATTGACTATTAAGATCAAGCAAAGGAAGGCTGATGGGGTGCATCTAGAGCAGACATGTCAAACACAAGGCCCGGGGACCAGATGCGGCCCGCAAAGTGGTTTCATGTGGCCCGCGAAGCCATCCTGGAAACAGTGAGGGAACGGCCCCCGCTGCCTTGGCCCTGGACGTGTTTTTCTCCCTCCCTCATCTCAAATATTTTCCCACCACTCTGTACTTAGGAAGGAAGAAAGGAAAGAAGGAGAGGGAGGGTCTGAGGGAAGTCCTGCCTTAGTCCGGTCCTGCTGCCTTTTACCATCCCCTTGCCCCCTCCTCCTGGCCTATTCTGGGGTCTCCCATCCTATTGCTAAGGAAGCTTTGGATACAAAGCCGGGTCTCCTCCCATGGAGACAGAATGGGCCTCCCTCTGACTTTGCCCTGGTACCCATCATGAGCAACCTGGCTAAGGAGAGCAAGAACAGCAGCAGCAGCCCTGAGGAGTAGGTAAGTGCAGCTGGGCGCCCCTTTGGGGAAGTGGGGCTGGGCTTGGTGCCGCGGGTGCTCGAGGGCCAGGCTGGGCGTTTGACCTCTGCTGCCCAGGGCTCCGGGCAGCCCGCACCACCATCCAGCCCCCCCACATGGCCTGAGAGGCCTGAGGCTCCTCAAGTGGACCATGCCTTGGCACTTGCCCTGGTCTCACTTCCTTCTGCCAGAGACCCTCAGATCTGTCCCACTCCTGCCCAGGCCCCCACAGGCCCACTTGACGCGAATGATGTAGAGCTGGCCATGCCCACCCAGAAGGGCAGAAATGGGAAGTCAGAGTAGGGGGAGCCCCCCTGCAATAGTAACTGCATGTGGGCTGCCAAGCACCCAAATTTTGATCACATGACCACGGGGGGGGGGGACTACAACAGCCATAACTTTAGGGATTTATATACCAGTCATTCAGCACTACTAATTGTTCTGTCCCAGCCTACATGAGTCCTTGTTAAGCTCACAAGGAGAAACCCCTCTTCCAACAAGCAGGCTAGAACCGCAGGAAAAAAACCAATCCCCTTTTATTATTCACAGACCTGAGTCAATGTCCAAGGCAAACAAACACAGTAGCACCTCCCACACCTTCCCTTTTATTATGCAGCCAAGGCGTGGCTTCCTAATCCCTTCTCCTTTGCCTTTGTAGCCGCCCCATTGCATTCCTCTGTCCTACTCTCTTTTCTTGCCGGCATTTTCGTGCATCCTGGATATCTCCCAGCTGTGATTCATCACTGTCCAATTCAGCTATGTCTCAGCCTGAGCGCAAGTAGAGGGGCCAGGCTCCTTGTCAGACTGTAAATCTTGGAGCTCCTCGGAGCTTTCTTCTGACTCTGATGTCACTCCAGGTCCCTCCTCCTCCTCTGATTCCTCAGACTCAGCTACCAGGTCCACTGGCTGGCGAGGAATCACAACACTAACTTCAAATGGCTATTGAACAAATAGTTATTAAATGAGGACCACTTGTAATGATATTAAAGGCCTTTAAGTCATGCCCCTGGTCTGGTAGTGGGCTGCATCCTGTTCAGAACTAAATCGCACAAGCGGTAGGCGAGTGCACGCAGCTCCACTTGTGCAAGTGGTGGGCACACGTGCTCACACGGAACCATCCCCTCTCCCCAACGCTGCCAGCGGTCCACAAAACCAGAAAAGTTGGGGACCGCTGCTTTAAGTGTCAAGTACTGATACTTGAAAGAGCATATTTCCCAATATCTAAATTCTCAAATGTTAAGACCTGGTTGAGCCATAGTAATATGTGGCTGCAGGTATGTAATGCCCTTCCCCTTGAGGCCAGGTATGTGCTGACATTTTCTATCTTTCAATATGAGTTGCCGTTACTGACAAGGCTTATTTATGCCTTCTGACCTTTAGCTGTATCTTTGTGTCGGTTGTTGTGACTGTGTCTTAACTTGGCTGTAGTTATTTAACTTGGTGTACTATTTTTCCTTGCTCTGTTATAGATTGTAACTTACCACAAGATGCTCTGAATAATAGGTTGGCTATAAATGTTTTAAACAAATAAAAATAAGAATGCAAGTAATTTTTGCTGTCCAAAGCAATACAGCTTCATTTTGTGGAGCCAACACAGTCAGATCAAAGAAGGAATATAAGTCAAGACAAGCTTTAACTCAAGAAAGCAGGGTACTCTGCTTCAACATTTTTAATAGAAACATTGAGGTGGGCTGGAACTGCCAATCCAAGTGTCTTCTGGGCATGAAAACTGTTGCAGGCCTTTGAAGTGTTTGTTTTGATGTATACCAGGTGCCACTACATTTCACAGAACTGCCTCAAAAGTGTGCCTTGATTGAGGTTTCTTTCGAAGTGAAGCTATCCTTTGATGCTTTGCACAGTCCTAACTTGGAAATGATACCATCTGCCACGGTGCCTTTTAGAGACGGGCTATAACTCACAGGCAGTGAACGTGTGAGGTCCAAACTAATTCCTGGCATTTCCTGCTAAGAGAACTGGCAAGCCTTCCCTTCAGTCGTCCTGCTGATGTGCATCTGCTGGTCATAAACTACGGATTATGCCAAAATACTACCAAGATTTTATAGTCTATCTGCATAACTCCCTTTTCTTAAAGTAACTGCACTCACTGTTGCAAATGACTGCTGCTGCTGCTGCTGCTACTGCTGCTGCTAGCCTCTGGCTGCAACCTGCTGTGATGAATTGGTCGTGGGGAGTCAGCACTTCCTGACAGTGAATTGGACAAGATAGGTGAGGATAAAAATGAAAACAGAGAGGAAAATAAATGGTGGGAAAAGGGGTAGCGAGCCACCGCCAACAACTTTCATCAACTAACTGTCATCAGTTTTATATGATGAGCAATAAATATATTTCACATTTGCTACTGGCAGATAGCTGACAATCTTTCTTTTTCCATGTTATCCAGCAAAGTAGATACATTTATTGTAGAATTTAAACATCTTTGAATTTTTCTACAGCGATAGATCAGTGACAAATACTAATAAGAATGTTTGACTTACTCGGTGATGCAGGTTTTCTTCTTTTGGTATTTTTCACACCGTCAACAGCTATTTCGGCATTGTCCTCATCAGCAGTAGCTGTCCCTGATGCAGCAACTAATTTTCTTTTTGTCTATCGTCCAAATCAAAACAGAAAAAAATGCACACAGGCAAGATAAACAAATGATAATGCCACACACAAAATTGCTAACCATATTTCTCTATCAAAGCTTTCTATCCTCTGAGTAATTAACTCAAAAAGCTTTTAACAGAAAAAGCATGTTATCTTAGGAATCATGCTATGATTTTTAATATCTTATTTTGTACAGGTTCCTGCACGAAAATATTTTAGTCTATTCAGCAACAAGAATGTAGTTTACAGTAATCAGGTACAATTACAACAGCATATTGAGTGTGGGTCTTCCATACAACAATATTTCTTAGGCACACAAAATTTGCTTCTTGCACTGCCTAAGCAGTTCCCTTTATTCTGAAATTTTATTTTAAGTGATTGGAGAGATTCTTGTCTTGTACAAATGGCAGACACTCTCTTGCTAACTTGCCTAAGAGATTCAGGCTTTACACACATTTCTGTAAGAATTTAGATATTTACTATATTTCATATTTTCCGGATAGTGAAATATAGTGCTAAAATAATGAAAAAAATACATATTCCAGTATTATTTTGAAATTATTTTTAAAACGACTATATAATTAGTGTAGAATTATATAGATCATGTAAAAATCACACAAACTGGAAACATTCATTTATTATTTAAAATCAAAATTCAAGCTACCGCCAGTGAATCTCAAAAATTGAATTTCAAGTAGCCACCATTGCCAGCCTCCTTTCCTTAATCTCCAGACCCAGTTATAGTAATCTAAATTACTCAATTTAAATAAAAAAATACTTATTTTTAATAATTTGAAAGCATTCCAATTAGAAAAGAAAGAAAATAAATAAATAAAATGCTAATACTTCCTGGGATTCCTTTTTTTTTTTTTTTACTGTAGAAGAGATTTTTAAAAACTTTCAGATTTGGTTAAAATGTTATTGTTATTCCCTTACCCTCCACAGTGAGACCTGCTTCTCAACCAGAAATGCATCAGGTTAGACCCCTTGTAAATGCAGAGAGGACAATATACTTCAAATAAAACTGGAATTGTGTATATGTGTTAAGAAGCCAAAATGGTTGTCAATGTTCTTAGCCTATCAGCACAAAAATTACTACTAAACTTCCACTCACTTTTTTTGGGTAAGTTTGATCAAAGTATATCCACAGTGAAATAGCTGAAGTGGTTACAAGCTTATATAGCCGACGAGAAAAGGGGAGAGTGCGTTGCATCTTTCCCAAGTGTTGCTTCATGATTACCATCCAAACCCTGCTGGGCTGAACAGATTGGTTCGATAATTATATACAATAACTGCAGTGGGCAGGTAACCTTCAGCTGGCAAAGGGCAGCTCCCCTGGGAGAACTTCCATATGCAAAAGGGCCTGATGGAGTGCATTAGGTACATTCTTTCTTGCTGGTGCATAGGCCTGATTAACACCAACCCAAACTCCAAGGTTAGCATGTCAGCAGATTTGTGATGCATTAGGCAGGAATAAACACAGACACTTTTGCTTGTTCTCACCAAAATTAAGAAGGACTATTTCACCATTGTATTGCTTTTATATACAGGGTATAAATGCATTCTTCCTGTCTAACTGGAATAGAGCTGTGCTTTTTTTAAAAAAAAAAGACTTACTATTAAAGCAGCTACTCAATACTTTCCACACACTAAAATAGTTTCCCAGCTTATACAGTGAAAGGCACATTCTTAATCTTGATCCAGACCAGCTAGATAGCAAGAAAAATCACGTATTGTTCTCTGATGCAGAGTGCACAGCAAACCATGAATTACTAATTCATATTTATTTCAGTTCAAATGTTTTCTAGTTGTTATCAAATATCATCAATGGGCTCATCACTAAGCATATTCCATGGCTTGAGCAGTTTACAAGCGCAATAATGAATGTTTTTACTGCATGAAAATGAAGGAATCTTCTCTTTTGGAAGAAGTTAACTGAACAAACGTAAATGTTACAGTAACATCATCCATTTCATATGAAAGTGAATTAAATTTAAGCCTAGTAGGGAATGCTCTCTCATTAATAAATCCCAGAACCAAAATCACTTAAAATGCACAATAGAGAAGATGAATAACTCCCTCTGTAACCAATTTCAATTAGCTGGGCAGCAACTGTTTCTACTATTTCTCAATTTACTAGCCATTATGATATGGCATCATCATCTGTCCCCAACAGAATGCAGTTTTGAGGTTCAACTTGGAATAGATTCCTAGCCAATATCAAAATTGAAAAATGTATTGTGCAGTCCTATGCATAATCAAAACGATGTCATTACTGGAGTTTGTTCCCTAGCAGGTATGTATAGGACTGCAGCTGTATACCAGTTAAAAACATAATGTTCTGCATGAGCTCATTTGGGGGAGAGGGGGGGTAGTTCATCTTATACTTGTCTTGAGGGCTAAGGAATATGGCAATCTAGCCAATCTTCTACTGAGTTAGGAGCCTGAGCATCCTTAAGCCTGTACGTTCCTACCCTTTCTTTCAGATCTAGCCATTGTTTATTTCAGAACCAACTAGTTTGAAAAATGGTGGCATATATATAAAACTTTATACAAGATCTTCTCCAAAAACAGACGGAAAAAGACATTTGATCAAGTGAGAAAAAGTGTGTGAACAAACCCAAAGAATTGTTATGCAAGTCTTTATGGGATCACAACAGACTTAAGGAGCAAATCCTTGGAATCATCAGAATAATCAAAATAATTCTTTCTTGCTACAAGGTTTATCGATCCTTTCTACCTACCTTTGTAATAGCCTGCCTCATTTGAAAAGAAGCATTCATGACACATAAGGCAGGTTTTTACCAATGCAGCATCATTGTAAAGAGAGTGACATTTTATGCATTAGGAACTTACTCTAAAGAATTCTACTCTATTTTTATTAACTGAGTCTCTTTTCCAATTATAAACTAAATAAATGCTTTTACAATTTTTCTTCGACACAGCCCAATTAAACTGACACAGTAGAAATGAAGACCTCAATACACAAAATCTATCAAGTTAGACCTTGGAACTATATTAAGACAACCATTTCTATTTTTTTTTTTCATTTCACATGCTAATCAAAAATACAGAAAGCCCAAAGCGTAAAGTAAGAATAGGAAGCAAGCTGCAAGTTCCTTGAAACGCTTAAAAGGATTCATGTTTCCAGTTAGCTCCTTTGTAAATCAAATTTTTCATCTGAAAGACATTCTATTCATTTGGCTGCAGAGCTGCAATCCCATTAGGCTCACAAGGTGCTCCTTGCTTTTAAACACCTGACCATTTGTTCAGTGACTGTTCAAAGTTACAGCAATGCTGAATGCAGGGACTGAGAACGGTTTCCCAGAGTTATGGCTGTTGCAGCGCCCCCTTTAGTCACATGATCAAAATTCAGGCCCTTGGCCGCCTGCCATCGCTTACACAGGGATGTTTCAACTCCCCCACCTGCCTATCTCTCCCCCATCTCTGCCCCTTTGCCCCCTGCACTCTGGCAGCCTCTGCCGCCCTAGCTGACCTTTGTCATCTTGTTCTCACTGGCCACATAAGGCTTTGTTGTCCAAGTTGCTCTTGGTGGTTTCCTTATGGGGCTTGGGGAGGATGGGATGGCCTCATGTGGCCAGCAGCTGCCTCATAAAGGGTCAGGCTCAAAATACTTTGCCAGCAGCGGAAGCAAGAAGATGGCAAAGATCAACTTGGGTGGCAGAGCACAGAGCAACAGGGGCCTCAGAACGCAAGGTGACTGGGACTGGGCTTCACACGGCAGCAGCTCAGGGGCTTCTTGCAGTCCCAGGGCTGCCACACATGATGAAGTCACTGAGCTGCAGTGTGACAAGCAGCCCCAGAGCCTCGGGGTTTGGATCAGGGTGGGTCCTCACATAACGATCGGTGGAAGCGAGGCGGTCACAAGATGTCATGGTTTACGTGCAAATCACCCAGTGACAGAAACTCAGCTCACAATTGTGGCCATAACTCAAGGACTACTTGTACATTTGAGATAGGCGTCTTCCACTGGAGACATTCAGCTCTTTCATCCACGTTCTTACTGGAAATGGCTACGTTAGAAGCAATGCTACCTTGGCAGCCTCGCCCCAGCGACCTATTCCCTGTAAATGCTATGGTGGAACACTAGAGTGTACAGGTATTCCTCGACTTACAACAGCTCATTTGGTGACCGTTCAAAGTTACAATGGCACTGAAAAAAAGTGACTCCTGACCGTTTTTCACACTTACAACCATTGCAGCATCCCCTTAGTTCCGCGATCACAATTCGAATGCTTGGCAACTGGTTCATTTTTATGATGTTTCAGTGTCCCGGGGTCACGTGATCAGCTTTTGTGACCTTCGGACAAGCAAAGTCATTGGGGACGCCATATTCACTTAACAACCAGGTCACTAACAACTGCAGTGATTCGCTTAACGATTGTAGCAAGAAAGGGCGTAAAATGGGACAAAATTCACTTAACAAATGTTTCAGTTAGCGACAAATTTTGGGCTCAATTGAGGTCGTAACTGGAGGACTACCTTATTTTTTACGATGCTGGTCTTGAATATGACTTGGATTAAGCAATTAATGCAAAATAACTGAGCAGCCATTAGCAAAAAATGGGGATTACCATCACTTTACATCTGTAACTTTGTCGATTTCCTAGCTTATTTTCAGCCTTTATCTAAAGTGCAGGTTCTGACTGTTAAAAGCTCTTCATGAGCTTGGGAGCAGAATTCTTAAAAGATATGATTTTGTAAAAATCCTTCTTTTATCTAAAGCATAAGGATTAGTTACTGAAGAAAGTGCCTACTTGATACTGCTGCTCTTGTCATGAAGTACACTGCCACCAGAGTCTCATTTTGTATATATTTAATAGTAAACTTCATGGTTGACTGGGATGTGAACCCTTGTTCCTTAGATATTTAAACAGCATTCTAAACATACAGATAGCTTAAGTCAGGGGTCCCCAACCCCCGGTCCATGGACCAGCAACCGGTCTGCACAAACAAGCAAAACCCCATCTGTGGGATGCAGGCAGCACACAAAACCATGCACTCTCCAGGCCATGGGAAAACCTTTCTCCAAGGAACTGGTCCCTGGTGCTCAAAAGGTTGGGGACCTCTGGCTTGTTATGGGTGTGTGTGTTTTCCCTGCTAAGTTGTCATAACAAATAGGTGAGTTTCAACTGGATTCATATATCAGAATATTTCTTTTTGAAAGATTATCAATGCTGAGGATTATCAATATTTTTTAAATTCAAATTTATATCAAAGTTTTTATTCTCAAAACCAGAAAGAACAATTATTCAGCAAAATTTAGTTTTTATATTAATCACTAATTGGCTAACCATCTATATCACTAAAAAATCCCTACTAGTTTGGAAACTGCTTAGTGAGGTTACACAGTATTTTTTTATTCCAAATAATTTCATATCAAATAATAAATATCATTTATTATAATATTTACTGTAAATTTCCCTCTTTATAAATAAAAACAAGTCTTGGTTTCACATGAATTGGCCACATATTAGCAGTCACTATGTGATAAAGACAAAGAGATATATGATGAAATTTAACTTGATAATGCCTTCATTTAAAAAAAAATGACCTACATTAAATGTATAGTATTTTTTTCTATCTGATGTGACCAATGACATATTATATAAGGAAATTTTATCATTTCAAGAATGCCTCATATTTACAAACTCCAAATGACAGTTACATAATTATCACTATCCTTGAAGAACAATTAATCAATTAATCCTGCCATCCAATACAAATGCATGGAAAACATGTCTGGATACAAAATGCATGGATAGCTTGAATAGGTATCACTATCAAATCCTTTGAAAGCTTAATTTAAATACAATTGGGGATGATGACTCATTTCAAGGTTTTGTTGTAATTTCTATTTTTCAGTAATGAACAACTGGTTACCCACACAATTAGATACCGCATACAAATTGCATGTACTACCATGTTTCCCCAAAAGTAAGACCTACCTGGAAAATAAGCCCTAACTTGATTTTTTTTTGGGGGGGGGTGGGCCTAATATAAGCCCTACCCCAAAAATAAGCCCTAGTTTGGGGGCGAGGCACACACCTAAAAATCAAGCTAAGGCAGGGGTGTGGGGTGTGGAGCTGCCCCACGTGCCCCGCACCCCCTTACCTTGCAGCCAGGCCTCTCCTTGCCAGCCCACTTCTTTTGCGGCATCTTCTGCAGCCAGGCCTGCATTTCGCAGACAGGCCTTTCCGGAAGGCCTTTTCAGCCAAGAACTGAGCTATGGATTCAATCCATTGCTCGGTTATCGGCTGCAGAGGCCTTCCGGAAAGGCCTGACTGCGAAATGCAGGCCCGAACTCCATTCTGAGCTGCAGAATAAAGCTGCTCCTTCAGCTGCAGAAGAAGTGGGCCGGCTGGGCGGGGCTGTCGGTGCCGGAGGTGAGTGGAAAACCCACCACCTGAAAATAAGAGCTGGTGCCTCTTTTGGAGGAAAAAAAAAACACCCTGTCTTATTTTCAGGGAAATACAGAATGCTGTTACGCTTATTTCAGGGCAAATGCTTTTTTAAAAAAATACTTTTAAAAAGCCCTTCTACATCTGTTTAAGAAAATTTTGTGGCAAGTGCTTTCACCACCCAAGTACTCATGCTGAGTGGGATTTCAAAAGCAACTTTTGATTTGGTAGGGAGTTCTCCCCCTAATTTTAAAATGTTAGAACCAAAGAACCACCTTAAAGCTGTGTACAATCTTTCAACCACACTTGAACTAGTTCTTTGGATTGCGGGTAGCTATAGGAAATTTAAATAAGTCCATGGCCCAGTCAAGTCTTATGCACACATTTTTTCTTTTACTGTCTTGATTTAATCTATGTGATACCCATTTATAAAACCATTCATTCTTATTTCAATCAAAAGCAAGATACATTAAATATGAATCTGAATTAAGCAGACCTTAGGCTTTGTCGGAACATCACCATTCAATGAAACTTCAAAATCCAGTATGTCATCATCTTTGTGACCAATGTCTTGCAGACCTTTAAGAAAGATTTCTCGTAACTCGTGATATGGTGGTTTTTCAGTGTAGGACAGAGTCATCACTTTTTCCATATACCTGGCTATTTCAACTAAAGAAAGCAATGAAAAGTCTAAATCAGTCAAATTACATTTTCATATAGCAATACAGTGATATGGTATAAAATTCAGATACTACTACACAGTCACAGCTAATATCCAAATATTGTAAGAAAAATATCTTCTTCTCTGCTCATAGAAACTATTTTGTTTCTGGAGAGAATTTATAAAATATGTAAAATTCTGCTTGGGATAATCAGTATAATAGCTAGTTGCAGATAAATATCACAGAAGAATCAAAAGGAGAGCTTTCCTGACAATTTCACATCTTCAAAAGAAACTCTGAGGGGGATAGATTTGTCAAATGAAGAAGGGCATCTTCTCCCATATTTGTCAAGCTCTAAACAGACCTAAAGCAGTGATTAAATCTTTCTAGAATCATTTTATTCAGGAATATTGAAGTTTCACAGAAATAATATCAAATTTCATAGTATACATAACATGAACCTTGTTTACAGACAAATATGTTAAAGAATCTGGATATACAGTATAGATAAACAGATCCATATTTTAATAGCTTCTTTCTTAATCTTTTGACAACATTTGAAATGTAATAATTTTAACATAAATAACCACAGTAAATCTTAAAGCAGAACTATGTTTAATGGTAGTATGCTTTTAAAAATAAATAAGATCAGCAAATAGATTTAAACAGGGAAATTTATAATACCATTAGTCAGATTTTTTGACTGATCTTTTCTAAAAAGAAAAAGATTTCCTAGCAAGCAAATTATCTTTACTCAATTTCATGATATAGTTTCATTTATAACTCTTTTCTGTGCAGTAAGAAAACCTGCAAATGTATGGACCACCACAGCATCAGAGTGCTGGTGAAACTGGTACTGTTGGCAAAATGGGTTGTTTTTCCTTTCAACTTTCTCTGAAACCTCAAATAAAGTATATTGTGAGGGAGGTGAGAAAAAGTCTGTTTCTAGGCTGCTCTTGTATAATTCATAATTATTAGACATGGTTTTTTTTTTTATTCTGCCTGTAAACTGCATGTCAGGACTTCTTTGGACAATTTATTACATAATCCCCCCAAAAGAGACACTGATAAATTTTGTTTCAATGAATTCCTCCATATTTTTCCCTTTCCTTACATGAAACAAATGCTCTCATTTGATGAAATAATTTAAGCAGACTCTTACCTACCTGGTTTATTTTCTTTAGTGAAACACTTAATCATGAATTCTGAAATATTATCTGTATACCTGGGAGAAAAAAACAAGATGCCAAATTATGTTTAACATATCAATAGTTTTTCATAGATTTTGATTCCTTTCAAATATATAAATACATATATACAGTACATGCAATACACACATATACGGGCAGCAGTATTGAAGATTAATAAAGCTATCCTACCTTTTTAAAATTGCACTCCGTTATTGAATAAAATATGCTACAAATCATGCTGTTAAGGGTAAGGACTGAAAACATTCTGACAATTAAAATCTTAGAAGCATAGAAATCCTGATGTATTAAGTTTCTGATGGATATCTGTAGCATAATATCTTATTTTGGATAAATCAAACCACAATGATTGGCAAACTAAAATTGCATTGGCATTTGGCTTTATGGAGATCTTATGTGCAAGATGACACAACAGATAAGAAAGCTAGAACCATGTTCACTTCTCATGTTTCCAGCTGTCAAAAGAATACAATACTGTTTATTTAGGGCCCAAGAGGATTCAGCAGAGTTAGTAAAACATTTAGCTAACATTTACACTTCTGTTCATATTAAAATTCAGTTGCAAGGTGATTTAAAATAAGCATTGGGAAGTGAGGACAACAAAAAGCATGTGCCACTTAAGAATAACATAGCGACATTCAGCATTAATACTTCACAGTATTTCTAGTTTCATTGTTTCTGGCTTTATCTCAGACTGCAGATAAAACAGTACAAAAGTCAATTGTCAAGATCTCTAAATGATATCATTTATGGCAAATTCTGTTGTACTAGTTCAACAAGCACTCTTTTGTTTGTTTTCCTCTTTCTTTTTCTTTCACATTAGGCATTTTTGTCCTCTCTTGTAAGATTCAACTCTACCCTCAATTCCAAAGGCTCACTGGCTGGTTTTAGGTCAATTGCTCCTTCTCAGCTCAACTAATCTCACTAAGTTTTTATGGGGACAACGGAGAGAGAGGGTGCTATGTACACCACCTTGAGTTCCAGAAGGTAAGGCGGTATATAAATCCATCCATCAATGTTGCAATATAGTGCTGCACTATGTAACTGCACAGCTGAAATAGGAATGTCATCCAACTTCCACCCAATAATTCAATTTCAATTAAACCTGTCAAGCCTGTCTCACCTGGATTTTTAAGATGAAAATATGCTATTTAGTTTCATCTAAGCATATCTATACTGAGCAGTTTGAGTACATCCAAGAGTATTGTTATTAAATATGTTAAAATTACCTAATTTTTGATTCTTTGACATAATCTGGATTTTTCAGATTATCATCCCAAGGCAGACTACCGCTAAGCCAGCAGATCATACAATAACCCAAAATTTCCAAGTCACCACGTCTTGAGGGAGCTAAAAAAGAAACAAGTGCTTAATTCATAGTGAAGATGAAAATAGTTATAAAATGTATCATTAAAGAACAAAAGGAATAATTAACTTAATACCCCCATGTCTTTTAAAGATGATTAAGAAGTTCTCCTTTAGGAAAAAATGTCAGGTTTATTGCATTGTAATATTAGTTACAACCTATAAAGGCAGAACACTATGGATTATAATTTCAGTTATACCGAAAAGCGGTTATTGGTTGGAGAGTTTCAGATTGCCATGACAAATTTAAGACCACAGGGAAAAGTACAGTATGTAAAAAGGGAAATTTTTAATGGAATGAGACTGATTGAGGCTTTGACTGAAACAAGTTACATAAGAGGATAACTGTTTTTGGTGAACATTTTTTTTTTGAAACAGATCTTTTGCACAGATAAATCTTATGTGCAGTTGTCTGAATTAAAAGCCCTTGCTCATGGTCACTCATACTCTGGTACTTTCTAGAATGTGGTGAGTGCATGAAGAGCATAGCAAAGTCAGATTGCAAGAAAATCAAAGGGTGGAGAGTGCATAGGAGCATAAAAATGCAACTGTCCATAGGAAACTGCAATTGTCGTAAGTGCAAGCCTGTTGCCAAGAGCCTGAATTGTGATCATATGACTGTGGGGGCACTGCAATGGCCCCAAATTTGAGGACCAGTTGCAAGTAGCACTTGCTCAGCACTGTTGCAACTTCAAACTGTTGCTGAATGAGTGCTCGGTAATGAGGACTTACCGATATATTCAACAACTTTGTTACCTTTTATTTGTAAGAAGAATGAATATATATAAAAACAAAAACAATCTTACCCACTCCCTTGTGTGCATCAATACTAGTAAATTCAAGAGTTCCATCATGACATCGTTTGGGGTTTTCTTTGTAATCCTTGTGATTGCCTTCTGGAGAGTATCGAAAAGCAAGGCCATAATCTACCAAGTATACCTGTGCAGATTTCAAGCACAACAAAACCAATCCAAAAATTAAAAACAGCCACACTAGAAGATGTTTATGTATATAATACTGACAAGTTCTCATTATATCATTAATATCAGGAAATGTCATTCAAATATAAGTATGTATTCTCTTTTTGTCCAAGGATTCTTCCTAATATTAAAAGCCTAATCATTCATTCTATATACTTCAATAAAAAACAAAACATTATAAACAGGACACCCAAGCAAGTTAAAGTAAGCCTACCTGCAATTCAATAACAATCTAATACTGATGTTAAAAGAACCAAATAGGAAAATATTATCTGCACCTGCCTTAATAATTAACCAGTTCCTGATTGAACTAATGTAGAACAAATTGTCTCAGGGGTGTAGATGGTGATTCTAAATATCCTATTACCAGCACATACCTAATTCAGAATTATTTTTAATAACCAAGGCACACTTTACCAGTGGATGCTTTCAATTCCCACCTGAAATCTCATGCTGCTTTTACCACTAGTCTCAATTTCATTTATATCTCACAAACTGTAATAGAAGCAAGTCAGCACCAGACCTATCCTCTCTTTTTTTCCAATTCAATCTGCTGGCTATACAAAGACTTTTATGGCACTGGATCAGGTTATTGAAGGGACCACCTATCTCCCATGTTTTCTGCCCTCCAGTAATATCTGACAGAATTGGTGCTCCTTCCCTCAAACAACTGCATGTATCAAGACCTGGGCCTTCTCTGTTGCAGCCCCTGCCCTCTGAGAGATTTGTGTAGCTCCCACTTCAGCAATGTTATGAAAGGCTTTTTAAAAATGGCCTTTCTCCCAGGCTATGGGCTAGGGCACTTGTGGACCCTGTTGGTTATGGCTTTTTGATATATGGGGTATTGTTATCCAGTCCATGGGAGTTTTCTTTACTGTTTTCTATTTTTAAAGTATAAGCTTCCTGGAGTCATTCTGGAATTTGGTGGCTTCTAAATCAAATAAGTACATAAATTCATTTCCTGGCTCCAAATCTGGTAAGTGGAAATTAATATAGGTTGTAAAAAGTCTGTGCTTATAGAAAAATCTTAGACCCGGGCTGCTAAAATTTCTGACTTGATGAACATGTCATGGGTTCTCACAAAAGAGATACCATGTAGGAAGGGGTCATGTCTTTTCATCAACATAAGGTTAGCAAGCTACAAAATACCCATTAACCAGGAAGCCAATAATCTGGAGAATATTTGCATTATATTGTAATTTTGTATCAAGCTAAGAGGATATGTCAAACATTAAGATGGGCAAAGTGTCTTTGAAAAGTGAGTTCCTGCTATGAATTTATTTCTTGATTGCAACGCAACTAAAATTTTGTTTTTAGAGTATGTAATATACGTATGTGTGTATATTGCTTTAATTTTACTATACAACCCAATCATTTCCCTTTGATTTATGAAATTATTTTCATTTTTAGATAACTCATCTTCCAAAATAGTATTCTTTATCAACAATTCATACAATGGTGATAAAAACTGTGGATATAAGACAAAAACTTTGACCTCCAGTTTACAAACAACAAAAAGAAATCTAAAGTGATGAGGTGATCAAACAATCTCATAGTACCTAAAATAACATGGTGAACAAATGAACTATTTTATGCAGATAAATCTAGGAGCTGATCTTTTACTGCCATTCTTGCTTGAATAAAGGCAATGCAACCATCTAATGACTCTTGGACCTTTTGCCAAAGGAAGAGACAAAGTAACCCTCTCAATATTTCTATCAATTTATATGGGAATATGAAAAGTAGACAAGTAAAAGCTCTTGTGGGTGAATAAGTTCTATGGATTCATTTTCAAAAACAGAAAAGCTCCTTTAAAAGTACTATAATTCACTTATTCATCGCAAGAAAAGTACCTAAACCTGGAAATTGTTCATTTGCTAATGATGACTACTATAACTAAATGATAATAATAAATGGACAGCTAGAGATATTTCTGTAAACCTTTTGATTTGAACTAATATGTTAAGAAATCAGGTTTTCAAGTAACAGAACACTTATGCTTGATGGATTCTTCAAACAAAGGAAATAAAAAATTGACAAAGCAGACAAGCAAATGTAATTCACTGGTGTAGTATATAATTTTAAACTTCCACCCCCAAACAGCTATTTGAAATTCATTTTGTATTGCAAGCATTCTCTTTAATATTATTCAGGGCAGAATAGCCAATTTGATCAACTGCCAGCAAAGTGAATAAAAAATGTACAACATTAACTAGATATAAATGTCAAGCAGAAATATTAACGCTGTACACATTCAGAAAGGCAAGATTTCTGCTGAGGTTCACAGCAGTTCCATTTTCTTTAAAACAATAGGTTAAACACTGAAAGAAGAAAAGACTGAAAGTTACCTGATTTGGAATCTTGTGGCCCAGGAGAAGATTTGAGGCCTTGATGTCTCCATGCACATATTCATGTTCATGAACATATTCCAGAACATCCAGCTAAAAAACATAGAGCGTCAGAAAAAAAACTTCAACAAAATAAATTTCAGTGAGGTCTCTACTAACATTAACATAGAAAAACATTAACTTACTATTCTCAGTCCCAACTGTAACACTGTTTTGTGTGAAAACTGCTTTCCTTGTTCTTCAAATATCTTCTGAAGATCTTTCCCTAATCTGTCCATCACCATAAATCTATAACTGATTTGAAAAAAATACATTTCAGGAAATTGAAAACAAATGTCATACAAAAAAATAACATTCACTCTTGAGGACAGTACAGAAGTGGAGTTTTCTTAGGAACAATTAACAATTGTGTGCCACTAACTTCTTCCAGTTCTTTTTTTGACTTCCCTGTTTAATTTCCAGACTTGGTATTTCTTAATGGTCTTCCATCTACATACCGTGTTTCCCCAAAAATAAGAACCGGTCTTATATATTTTTTTTGCCTTCAAAAGAGGCAATAGTCTTATTTTCGGGGGATGTCATTTCCACTGTCTTGCCTTGCCCCGGCAGCACCAGCACCCAGCCTAGCAGGAGCCTGCATGGCCGCTGCTGACCCATTTCTTCTGCAGCCGCTTGCTACCGCTCGAGCGCGTCGCTCCCCAGCCTCTGTTTCGCTGGCCTCTGTAGTCCAAAACAGAGCTCCGGGATGACACCTCTGCTGGCGAAACAGAGGCTGGGAGCGACACACGTGAGTGGTGGCAAGCGGCCATAGAAGTGGGCTGGCAGCGGGCATGTGGGCTCTTCTGGACAGGGCTGTTGATGCCGCCGCCACAAGGCAAGGCAGGTATCAGGGCATGGGAGGCTTGGCTACGGCAGTCCTGAAGCAAACAGGTACGGGGTGTGTGGGGCAGCTCTACCCCCCACCCCTGCCTTAGCTTGATTTTTACGTGTGCACCTCGTCCCACCTCGTGCAACCAGACAGTGGGAAGGAGTGGGCTTATTTGGGGGATAGGGCTTATATTAGGCACTCATGTAAAAATCAAGCTAGGGCTTATTTTCAGGATAGGTCTTATTTTCGGGGAAACATGGTACCAAGCAGGACTGATCCTGATTAGCTTTTATGATGACAAAGGTTCTAGGCAGGCCTTTTTTTGTTATAGAACACACGGAAAGGCGTTCCGGCACCTTTTTTCAACAGAATTTGTGGAACTAAAAAAAGTTCAGTCAGACCTTCCAACTTCTTGCGGGGAAAAAAAAAGATCTCACAAGGAGTTGGAAGATCTGACTGAACCTTTTTTAGTCCCACAAACTCCGTTTCCCTGCAGAGAAACACGCCAGAGCGGGAAAGCAGGTTAGCAAAGAAATGCTTTTGGGAAGAGGGAGGAGCTGCGCCGAGAGGAGAAGCGACAGGAAACAGGGCTGCCATTTCCAGAAGGGAGAAGGGAGACATGGGGCAATGCAGGGCAGCAAGCAAGTGCTGTTCTCTGCTCTGCATCCCTGCACAGAGCTGCCATTTCTCCATGATACAGGCGACAAAGGACTGGCGGAGGGAGGTGGTGGGGGAGGCTTGTGCTGCCCGTTCACAGCGCAAGCCATAAGAGAGTTGGCAGAGGACAAGAAGGCGGCGGCTGCGCCTGGGCAGGTGATCTGCGGGATGAAGCTTAAAGAAAGCCCCTCCAGCGGCGCACAGTGGCAGTGGAGCTGTTCACCGTCACTCCCCCCTGGCTCCAAAATGGTGGAGGAGGACCGGGCCTACCTCGCCCATCCCATCCACCTTAGCATAGCAATCCGGCTCGGGAGGGGAGTGAAAGGTTGCCGATCAAGAAATGGCCTGGCCAGTGGGGGGGGGGAGCTGAGTTCCGGCATTTTTTTTCTTACAAAAAAAGCACTGCTACTCCCAGACAATGCAATGGCATAAAAAAAAAAGTTTAAAATCTGCTAAAAATTACTAAACAATCCCCTTCCATATTTTTTACAAATTCAGGAAAGTATGCAGGAACAAATGAAATCAGAACAGGATAGCAGTTCAACTGATACTAAAGGCAAATTTATGAAGTTTAACAAAGATCAGGTATGTCTCCTGATTGAAAGAAATACAGAATCTGTGCTATTCTAATTAACCAAACTTCTGTGCCATACTTCTGTGGCACCTGAAGCATGATCTCATTTAATTACTCCCCCTTAGGAAACAATAAAAACACAATTGTTTTCACTCATTAAATAACTTATCAAAAAAAATCAATAGAGGTCTTCTTTAAACAAAACCTTAATGCCTGTCACTAAACTACAAGGCAAAAAGAACAGTTAATCTCATTAACAACCCTTTCAATTAATAAATCTCCTGTATGATATTTTCTTAATGGTTTAATTTTAATGATAGCCAATTTTTGTTACTTTTTTTGTTACTCCACATATCTAGCAAGGTATTTTCAATTATCTGTTTGGACAGATATTTTTGTAATTTAGTTGTTAGGTAATACTCAAAATGGATTACTGCCTATTTATTCTGTTTTGGCCATGGGATGAAAAGCAAGAGAACAATAGCTGACGTTGAAATCCTACTACTTGGCCTGTATTCTTTAAACATATTTAGTTTTATTCTGATGGAATAAAGCTAACTTGGAAAGGTTAAACACCCTATCTTATACTTCCTGAGAACTACTAAGCACATTTATTAAATTTAATAGAATATCATAAAATTACTTAAGATTCACTTAATACTAACCACAATGCATACTTCCAAGTTTTCCAATAAAATACATATAAGATTGTGCCAATTTCTCAATATGTTGATCATGATAAGATAAACTTAAATGACAAAGACCTGCACTTGACATTATTCTGACTCATTTTAAGAAATATTGCAGAGTTTGGAAAATTGGAATTAACGGAAGTTGTATTATAAAAAGTCTTTGATATTCTAAAATAACAAATGGTTTATACCTTTTGCCATTCTTTTGATGCAAACCAGAACCCCAATATTTTGGTACGCCTAAATATTTCAGTTTATGAGAAGAAATCCATTTTTTAACTGAAAAGAAACAAGTATTTTCAATACACATTTGTTACCACATAAGGTTGAAAACCATAATTGCTATTAAAACTTAATATGAACAGTAGAGAATGGTGATATTTTTTTTAAAACAGGGAACTTCTCCTTCACTGAAATTAATGGCACTGAAAAGCTTAGAATCTAAACTGTACATGTACTGCATTTTTTTTAATGTTTATACATTTTAGCCTTGATTCCTTCTATAGTTTTAGCAACTTAAACATAACAATTGCACCCCACATGAGCAAAAAGCTAACAAGATGCTAGCATGTTTAGCATATTATTTAAATACAGTTGTTTATTATTCCTTTCCCACTTTTCAAGTAGCTACAGATTCCTAGTATTAAAAAAGGACAAGTTTTAGATCCAGTTTATAAAAATTATTTCCAATAAATACTGTATTATTATATGGTTATAATTCACACTCTTAAAATAACCATTTAGAATCCTATATGAATTACAATAACTCAATACTTTATATTTCCCATATTTTCTTATATTTAAGAATGATTACACTGTTTTATTGAATAAAAGTGAATTGATTTACTTACTTAGTTCTGGTTTAGCAGCTCGCATGTAGAAACTTAACTCAGTAAAGAGTGGTCCATTGTCACTGGGCTCCTTTAAATATCATTTTATAAATAAATGCAATGATTTAAATTTGATTTATTCCACTTTTTTCCAGCAAAGATTTTACTAATATATAAAACATTCTATTTTCTTATAAAAACTATTCTTTTAACCATTTAATTTTTCTCCCTTATAATTTTTCTTGATAATTGTTATATAATTAGGAAAGAGAAAAATAATTTAAAAATAAAGCATTTCCATATACCACAATAAAAATGTTTACATCAATATGGAATTTAAAAACCCAAATAATATACAGTACAGCTGGATAAGTATTTGAAGGGCACAAGCAAAGCAACCCATCTAATATGGAGGCATCTAAATCCTCTAGAATGCTTACCACAATTGCTCTATAAACTTCCCAAGGCTGTATGCCAGGGGTGTCAAACTGCCAGCCCATGGGCCGGATGCATCATGCCGAAACCGCACCCACCCCATTGCCAGCAATGAAGAAAAAGTCACAATACGTCGTGACACGTCACGTGACATTGCGAGTTTGACACTCCTGCTGTATGCATACCTCTTCAGGTAACTGTGAATTAAACAAAGCAGCTGTCTAGGCACATACATGGAGAGACAATTTGGGAAAGACTTTGAAACAGCCATAAAAAACTTTACGGAGGATGCGGTAGTCTTACTGCTTTGCTCCTGTCAATATACTTCACCAAGCACGCATTTTCCGTATCCAAATAATAATTAATATACTAAAGATACCAACATATAAACTTTCAACAACTTTTATTGGCTCAGACAAAATGTATTTTTAAGCCAGTGCATGTTATATAGACATACATTTAACATAGTTGTCTCCCACCTGGTCAAGCTAGCAGTTAATCTAGCACCATGCATTCTATTCTGCCTATCAACATCTTTCCAGGATCTCAGATAGAATTCTTTCCAAATAGGGACTGACCATGGGTTCTTATACAACTACATTATGAGATATAATAGTTAATTATAATATCTCCCATACATGCAGATATTTTAATCAGATCATTTATTAGAAAAAGAAGTGTCCTTGCCATTAATGGAAACAAATTTATGCATAAAGCAATCTACCACAGAATTGAATTGGTTTACATGGCTTATGCAATTTTTTTTTCTGATCTCATTCTGAAATCGGTGTCACTTTTTAACTAAATAAAAATATGATTATAACAAGACTAAATCATTAGTTTTATAGAACTGTTAAGAGTTTTGGTCATGGACAGTCAGTGTGTTATTTGTGATAGTTCTTTCCCAGATGACCCTGACTTAAGTGGCTGTAATCATAATGCAGAATAGACTTAAATGTCTACATACACTGTAGTTAAACTCTATTCTATAAATCTATAGCTAGTGTCAAATGTCACCATCTTCAAGAGATATATATTTCAAGGTATCTATTCATGCATAAATATAATTTATCACCTTACATTTAAATTCTAAATTATACCACAAAGCACTGATTCATATAAATATTTATATCAGTCACCTCTACTCATGCAGATCGCCTCATGTATATCACCAATATGAATCACTATGCATACTTTTCAATATATTTAACAGTAAAAAATGTGACATGTACATTATCTTACATCATAATTATAACTGATTAATAGCATTTATAATTCCATACTAAAGATAAAAAGTAACAAGAAAAAAGCAAATCCACCTGATACTAATATAAAGCAATAATATTTGCAGCAACACTAAAATGCACTCTATAATTTGGCTTTTTTAATCAGTGGTCTTCTCTGATATCATCACAGTATTCAGAATGTCAAAAGTGAGGGACCAGGAAATCGTGGTCCCATCTACCCACTCATCCATATTAGTTAATGGGAATATAAATGGGGTAATAAAAGGCAGATGAGAGGAAAACATGCACAGGACATGCCCCAACATTTCTGAGGCATCCTGCATGCACTATTACTAGCTATATGGAAATGACTGCATGATCCCAATTCCTGCTGTTAATGAACTCATGATCAGAATGATAGTGCTTAGATTCCATAGCACACCGCGACTCCAAATGCCTTATATGTCCTTAAGATCTCTTAATTTTCCAAACACAAAATTCATGAGGGGGCAATGACAATTTTTTCTCCTTTACCATGGATCTCTAAAGTAAAATAGCTCATAATTGCAATTAGTTACAAAATAAAATATGCAGTGATTGCCCTAGAGATATACAAGCAACAGGTCAGATTCCAGATTGTCTGTCCCAACTTTACAGAACTTTTATTTCCTATGCAATTTTTGAATACTTCAAAGGAAACCAGTGTAAAAAGCACATGTTACTCCACTATTCAATACCCAATATAAAGAAAATTAGAGATTATTTGAGCAAGATGACAATAGCATTTGTTTTTATTAAAATATTAATATTAGCAAAGCTTAAAATACATTCTAGTTTAATTTAATCTATTTAAACAATTCATATAACACTGGTTGCCTGAAGATTTTCTACAATTTCACAAACTTACAAATGGAAAAGTTTGTCTTTTTCATTTTATTCTTCAAATGCAGACTTTTTCAAAAGAAATTATTTCCAGAGTCAGTCTGAAGTTAGGCACACCAAAAATGAATGAGTGAATAAACTTACCACTTTTATAACATAGGGTGCATCACTGGTAACTGATTCAGATGAATTAACATCAGCTGTTAAAATATAAATAGTTTTTATCTTAATATCTTAGCGGCAATTTTTATATAACCAACAAATATAGTAATTGGATGAAAACCAAATACAAATTAATGAGTATATTGAACAATATTGTACGGTGGAGCCTTATGTATTCTTTGCACAAATCTACCTCCATATCATAAATACCCATATAATAATAATATAACTTGCTAATTTTTACATTTAGTATTTCAACTTTGCATGTAAACAATGAATGCCACATTCCATTTTTTAAAACTGTACAAACTTGCCAAACCTGGCCAGTCAATCAAACACACTATTCTGCTTTAAGAGCAGCCAGCTGGTGCTGCCAGATGTAAATAAGTCAATTTAAATGTTCCGTCACTGAAATATTCAATGATTTTGGATTGAATTGAAGCAACAAAGCCTTTCTTAAAGAACTATAAACACCAAGTCCTAATAAGAACATGGCAATAACATCCATAACAGAGATTTCTAATTAGCATAGCCATCTTACCCTCCAAAAAAATTTCACGTTTTTATATTTATCTGCTGGAACAGACTGGGGAAGATAGAAGAACCCATTCCGTTAGAAGAGTCCATTCTACCATAAAATACCATCAAAAAGTATTGTGACAAAGGCCCAGCCCTTCTTGTAAGGGGAGCATGAAGGCAATGAAGAAAATCAGAATAAGCAATAGAATCAGGCACTTTCTATTCAGTTCACCAGATGCTGTCACCAACCCCGCAGTCCCCTCATCAATCTGCTAATCAGCTGAATGGCAGAATCCCAAGAACACTATTAGGCCTGTGGACATCCTTTCCGCAGCATGATAACCATGCCTTCTACAGCAACTGCTTGTCAATTGATTGGCAAGCTGGCTAAAGCTGGAGAGCCTTGAGGAGTGCTATACAACAACATAGCAAGCTTTCTACAAACTGTTTGAAGGGGAAAAGATAAAAGTTGTATTGTCCCTTTTCTAAGGTCACTGCTTTTCTGCTGTTATAGGAAGAGAGAAGCTGCAAAAAGTGATGAGGTTCTCCTCCAGGCAATTCTATTAGCTGAGTATTTTGAAACAAATATGCTCGTTCTGTAGGAAAGTATATCCATTTAATATTCACAGGGATTCTGCATGTGTTGAGAATATACATTCTAAAATAATTATATGCTGGCCCCTATATTTTAACAATCTTGGCAATATTCTTACCAAGGTACAGACAGCCAAAACCACCTTTGCCTATAACTGGACCAAGCTTCCATTTTTTCTTTAAAAGGTCAGTAAAAACCTCTCCAGGAGGAAATTCTTCTGCAAGTTTCCGTTTTCTTGGGCCTCTTTTTCCTGTCGACTTTTTGATATTAGGCATAGTCACTAAAAAAAAATTAAGAAAAAACAAAGTAATTAGAAATAAGATAAATTTGACTTATGTTTTGAATCTTAAAAGGTCTTTATTGCCTTTTTCCATTTGTCACCCTGTTTGACAAAACAAAAGAATGAAAATCAACCCCAAGCAAGTTCTGATCCTGGAACTCTAATGATTTTTGTACTGAATTCTTCTGGGACAAATTGATCAAAAGGCAAATACAAAAATATATTGTTTTACTTCCTATATGATACTTGCACCTCTGATAAGGGTGCAAAAAAGGCTCTACAGTTTAAAAATAATATATTCTTATCAATTTCTCTTATCATATTGTAGCAAATAATTACATTTTGTAAAAGTTAAAAGATAATAATAATAATAATAATAATAATAATAATAATAATAATAAAAAAAATGATGATGATGATGTTGGAAGGGACCTTGGAGATCATCTAGTCCAACCCCCTGCTCAGGCAGGAAACCCTATACCATTTCAGACAAATGGCTGTCCAGTCTCTTCTTAAAAACTTCCAGTGTTGGAGCATTCACCGCTTCTGGAGGTTGTTCCTCTGGTTAATTGTTTTAACTGTCAGGAAGTTTCTCCTTAGTTCTACGTTGCTTCTCTCCTTGATTAGTTTCCATAGCATATCCACAGGACCATTACTAACATATACAACTTGTAGCCTTCCAGATATTGCTAAATGACATTTTTCAATATTATTCATTCTGGCTATAGTTATTGAAAATTGTCATTCAGCTATACCTAGATGACCACAGTTTATCTACCTTGGTATAAGATACGTCACAGAAGTACAGCACAAAAGTAATGTTCACTTTCTTTTTTCAATCTCTGAAAAAATGATATCTCACTAATTGTGCTCTTTTTTTACAATAGCTTTTTTATTGTGATGTGCCATTTAATTAATGGGAAATTAGCAAAATTAGCAAAAACTGTCTTCCCTCATCATTGCTCCCACTTTGCCATTTTTAAGCTGATTAGTTTTACCCCTACTATTGCCATCAACTCTTCCAAAGCCTAGCTGACAGTCTCAGTTCAATCAAATGCAATCGAGCTAGGCAGATGAGGTTTGCTTTCCTTTTCATAAGGTTTCATTCTTGAACCTCTGATAAATATGAAAAGAAAATTACTCTTCATAAATAGCAAACTTCTTAAATTTTGGCAGAATTATTCATCATTAAAAAAAATATCAAAATTTTATGTCCTAATATTATTTATGACAATACTAACCATTATTTTACTATTAAAATAGAAGGTGTGCAACAGAGGCCTATTGATGTGGAACTTATACTTCTACTATCTCTCACCATTATATTAAATAGGTTGATAAGAGTAAGAATTCAACCATATCTGGAGGGCCATCTCTTGGCAGGGCCTTTTGTCACATCACATTATGTTAACCATTTGCCATTCCAGGCTTCTTTGTGGAATTTTCAACTTCTGTATCTCTTCTGCATTTAATGTCCAAGTTTCACAACCCCTATCTCAGCACAGACACTATACACATTTAAACAATTTCCTCAGAAATGCAGCGGTTAGCCACACTGCATAATGAACAGGATAATAGCAATCCTTGATTAGATATTGATACTTTAAAAAATCCATTAAAATATCCAAAGAAATGCTGGGCAAATGTAATGCAATTTGAAGGTGTTAACTATAAGTACTTGCAGTGTACCGGTGAAATTGAAAAGCAGTTAAAGAATCCTTCTTGCAATGAACTCATTTGGCTAATGAAGATGATACATTATCCCTAAAAAAATACAGGTAGTCCTCGACTTACAACAGTTCACTTAACGGCAGTTCGAAGTTACAACAGCACTGAAAAAAGTGACATGACTGTTTTTCACACTTACAACTGTTGCAGTATCCCCATGGTCATGTGATCAAAATTCAGATGCTTGGCAACTGATTCCTGTTTATGACGGTTGCAGTGTCCTGGGGACATGTTATGATCTTTTGTGACCTTCTAACAAGCAAAGTCAATGGAGAAACCAGATTCACATTAACAACCATGTTACTAATTTAACAACTGCAGTGATTTGCTTAACAAATGTGGCAAGAATAGTCATAAAATGGGGAAAAACTCACTTAACAAATGTCTCACCTAGCAACATAAATTTTGGGCTCAATTGTGGTTGAAAGTCAAGGACCCCATGTATAAGAATATAAAATCTGTGCATTAACAAAATTTCCAAGTATAAAAGGCCACACTACTTAGATCTGCATATATATTACACCAATATATTAATTAGTACATCCTACGTTTTTGGGAATAACTTGATGCATATGAAGGCCAACACTAGCTATACAACTGGCAGCTGTGATTTCACATTGTTGTGCACATTAATAAAATTTATTAAATTTATAAGCCCCGATTCTCAATTCTGAGCAGTTTAGAAATTGTTCAAAACATTTAAAAATACAGAAGTGTATAAAAAGCAGAAAAAGAACACAAAAGAGCAGAGGTAGCAGAGGAACCAAACCTAGATGGTAGCAAAGAAAAGAAAGGAAGGAGTAACAACAAGCCAGGTCTTTATGGTGTTTTGAAATACCAATAGGGTGGGAGCCCTTCGAACCATCATTCCACAGGACAACACTGCCACTTCTGGGGCCCTGACAGATGTTATTCTTTAATCAATGGAATCTAGAGGGCGCCAGGTCTGCCAGATGAATGTGACCTTATCCTTTCGGCTTTGAATCTATTCAACAAACAATATATAATAAACTGCATACCTTATTCACTTATTGGTATCTTAAAACAGACATAACCAATTATCATAGTGTAGTATCATTTAGATAAGATGACATTAGTTTGATTCATAAACATTGTAAACTTCTCAATGCTTGCTTAGGAGTGTTAACAAAAAAAAGCAGAAAAAATAGAAAAAAAATAGCAGAACCCCATATTTCTCCATTAGCTCATAGTCCTTCTTTGCTTATCTTGTTTACTACAAAATTAGCATAATTATACTAGCTTACTCATATTTGAATGCTATGTGGCATAATTTCACATCCCCCCCCCCGCTTTCTGCTGTCCACTGGTCTTTTTGTTAGCATATTGATGCAGTTTCATGTTTTCTTTTTATTTTATTGTTCCATTATTTCTATTTTGTTTACACTCTTTTCAATTCTTCCTTTTTTATTATTGTTAGCCAGCTAGGGTAGCCCCGTGGCAAGATACAAGGCAAATAAATAATCCAAATTGAAAAGTCACAGCAGTTATATTCTATGGGCCTCTGTATATCACTTGAAAGTAGCCCAAACAACCTCATAGGGTTGTTGTTATGGGGCAAATAGGAGGTTGAAGATGTGTTGGAAATGTTTGCCGCCTTAAGTTATTTATAAAAATAATAAAAGTGATATATGAATAACCCTGGAAAAACCAGTAATGCAGTAGATATGCAGACTGGGTGGGGGAAGGAATATTTGAGGACTTAGTGCAGCTTTCATCAATCCTGTAACTTCCAGAAACTCCTAGCCTAGAACCATTAACCTCCCAGAATTCCTGCATATGTTATAGGAAGAGAGATCAGTAGAACCCTGATTATTAAACAGATGATTCTTAAGATAAATGTTAAGACTAGCAAGAAGCAGGCTTAGGAGTAAACAAATAACAATCTTAATAGTTAAATATCACTAGAGATATATATTTGGCATTTCTTGTACCTTGAAACAGCTCTGATCATCATGATTAGTAATAACTAAATTAACAATTATTTAGCACCGTGTTTCTCAACCTTGACAATTTTAAGGCATGTGGACTTCAACTCCCAGAATTCCACAGCCAGCATTGCTGGCTGTGGAATTCTGGGAGTTGAAGTCCACATGCCTTAAAATTGTCAAGGTTGAGAAACACTGATTTAGCAGGTCCTAAATAGGGCTATAAAATTCATTGCTATTATTGTTTTCATCTCCCACTTTCTTTACAGGTTTCTTCCTATTAAATGTTTCCAAACACGTTGTTTCTACATTGGGAAATGCAGAACTTATGTCCTTCATTCTCTAACACATCACAAACTGTTATTTATTTCAGTTTCCTTCTGGCAAACCCAAGATACTCCATTGAACAGAACACATACTACCTCCCCACCTAAAAAGGAGGAAACGTGGGCTTATATTTTACTTCGGCGAACCTACAATCAGAGGCCTTTTGAACAGTCCTAAGAATTCAAACTATGATTGTTGAAAACTAATGAGAAAGTTATGCTCGCTTGTACTGTAGATCTACTCACTTCCCCCCCAAATGTGTCATTGTTGCTTTTAGCATCAAAAGGCTGCCCCCTTTATTTTAATAGATCGCCATTTATAAAAATGGGCAAAAGTAAAATGTTCGGAGCAGTTTTTTCCCAATCTAGACCTTCGAACTATTACGTTCAATCTGTTCATTACAGCCGTAAGGCCAGACATAACCAAAATGGATAACGAACTGTTACATTAGATCTCCTACTAGCTTTCACTTTTAATTCACAAACCTGAATTAAGGGTTTATGGGAGCCTCATTCAGTTTTGAACTAAAATCTCCTGCCCTGGGATCGACCGTCAATCCCGCCCAAACGGAGCGGAGCCAGTGGAAAGAGGCAATGAAAGACACGGCAAGACCCGAAAAATGAACCTATCCTGTAGATATTTCAATTATATTGCTAATTGATTATTTTTACGCCGACATACACCGCTAAGAACGGGAAAAAGAAATACGTAAAGTGTTTCTGGGGCCACCGGCTCCTAAAAAAAAGGGGGGGGCTCCCAAACAGCAGAGACGAGCTACAGAGGGGCGAGAGGAGGAAGGCAAAAGCAGTAAGATCCACCTTGGGGCAAAGGAAACCACGTGTTTTCCCGAGCTCTCCTCCCAGGGGAAAGGCGATGCAATTGTCGCCCGCCCCCCACCCCGCCAGAGCCATAGCGAGAGAGCGCTTCGGGCCATACCTCGTCAGTCAATCGGACTCTGGCAAGAGGTCACACCAGGCGAGAGCGCGTAAGCTCGACCACCGCCGATCGCGTCCCGGACAAAAACTCAGCTCCTCGCTCCACACCGGAAACGGGAGGGCGGAAGTTCGGAGTTGCCGCGCAAAGAGAACTTCCGTTTTCCAAACGGGATACAGTCCTGTAATTGTCAAGGCCGGGGGAGGGGGCGGTCTTGCTTCCCGCGCGCCCAAAAAGTGGGCGTGGCCTCGGCGCCAAGCGTGCGTTCGGCTCTCTTTTCGCGCGTGGGTGGCGTTGCGTGTGGCTGCTGAGGTTATAGGCTTCGGCAGCGTCTTCGTAGTTGCCCTTGGCCAGGGGTAGGCAACCTTGGCTCTTTTATGACTCATGGACTTCAACTCCCAGAATTCCTGAGCCAGCTGTGCTGGCTCAGGAATTCTGGGAGTTGAAGTCCAAGAGTCATAAAAGAGCCAAGGTTGCCTACCCCTGCCCTTGACGCTTGACGCTTGACTGTTTTTAGATAAAGCACGTAGGGACTCAGCCTGGGTTTGTTGTAGTGCACGCTCGAGAAATTCTGATTTCATACGTTTATTTCAGTTGCATCTCTCCGCCGTGCTTTTAGCCCGCGAATGAACCCATTCTTGTTCTTCGGCGCAGTCGGAAGTAAATCCCATGACTTTCAACCGAATTTGTTCCTGCCAATTTCGACTCTGTTCTTCCAATTTTCGCTCTATACTGCTGCGACCTCGGTTGCCCCACTTTCTAAATCTTGCTTGGAAACGACATAACAATAAGCGGAATAAAATATTTTACATTAATTTGTCCTTAGAATTTACGTGTACCAACCTGTTTCTACTAACGGCAGTTTTTTTATTACTGTTCAGAAAAATTGCATTGATCTACCTATTGCCAGGCAGGTGAATTACCCTGGTCTTTTTCCTTGTGTTTTAAAGTGGCTTTATTGTATTTACCATCTTACTGTTTTGCCCCAGAGATCATAGTTTTTGGTGGGAAGACTGGCTGTAAGTTTAACAGTTAAATTAACATCTTTTTAAAATGGTATACCGTGTTTTTTTTAGGATGTAAAACTGAAATATGACATCTTTTAACAACCATGATAATGATTGTATTAGGTGAAAATATTTTAGAACAAAATGTTTTGTTATGTAATATTAGATATTACTTTTTTTAACAAAATATTTTGATTTAATAACAACCGAAGGCAATAGATTATCAAGTAATTCAGTTCACTGTATCACCTTACAAAAATAAATTCCCTCTTAGTTTAATGAGGGTTATTCATGGTGGGCAATACAGTTGTAATTTTATTTTTGAAGTCAACAAAAACTTTAGATTCCTATTATGGAAAAAGTCCTAATGGAGATAATGGGCCTTTTTTATAAGTACAAATATGCTTTGAAGCTTGCTATCGGCTGACTAAATATATGCTTCAGGATAGTGTATCTTCAAAGTATCTAGTGCTAAATGAGAATTGCTATAAACTTTTTTTTAAAAAAAATTTTTATTATTTAAACCAACAAAACAAAACAAAACATAACACACATATATACACAGTATATATTCCTCCCTTTTTTAACAGCGATTTCGTAACAATAATCTTCTATTATTTACATTTCCCCCCCTTATTCTTCTTTAGAATATTTGTCCTTGTTGCCCCATTATTTCTTACTTGCATTTTTCTTCCTTCATACATTATTATACACACATTTTCCACTTTTAACCTTTCCACATTTATTCTCTATAAACTTTCAATCACATTATACAAGTTACTGTTTTTCCATGTAGTAGTGTCATCCAGCAAAGATAGTCCTGAATTAGTTTACCTCAAAACTGTTTTAAAAATCCTGCTGTTCTAATATCTCATTCTGCCTTTTGTATTAAAAAGTTCTATGAGGACTTTTCTATGGAATTTTTATGACGCCCTAACAAATTTTCATATTTAAACTTGGCGATATCCTCTGAACAGTCTTGGTGCAAAGGCTATGGAAAAATCTCCAGAGAGCTACAGAATTTTTTCTATGTGTAGGCAAGATTAAGAAGGAAAAGTATGTGCGTCTCTGTCCAATACAAAGTTAGCAAGATAGAATAGAGGTTTAAAATACTGTATTTTGGGTATTAGCTTGGAACTGTTTTTATAATTTTGTCTTTGTACTTTCATGTTCCCCAAAGTCCTTTGCGGTGGGAGGGGGGGTTATAAATATGGTTAACAAATAAGTGGAATTAAATAATTTATGGCTTGGTGTAATACAGGAAACCAGACGTATTGGCTGTATTTGCTCAACATTCTTGATTTGGCTAAAATAGAATTGAGTAGTTTATAGTTCATTATGTTGTAGGAAACCTAATCTTAGTCTTATATTGTATAAATCACGCTATCCCTTTTAGATGTAATATGATTTATTCATAAACATTATGTAAATGCAGCACGTGATTTTATGGATAGATAGATCTTTTAACCATTTGAGGAAACAAAAGAGGAAGTTGTTTACAGAAGGCTACCAAACAAGAGTCCCTGAGCAACTCTGGGCAAAGAGCGTTCCACAATATGGAGAGTACCACGGAGAAGGCTTGCTGCCTAATCCTGTCCCCCATATACTTCTCTCAGAAGTGAGAATGGTCAGTGGTTCACTGAGAAGCCAAAGGAAATGAAGCAATTAGAGTGAGGTGCAGAATGTCTTCTTCAGCAAACATAGAGAAAACCCTTTCTGTTACTGCCTGCTTCTTTGGAAAGTATTTATAGGAGATGACCAGGTTTATGCCCAGGGGAGGGGTCAAACTCATCATCATTCTCGAGTCCCTTCGCACCCACAAGAGATCTAAGTCCAGCTCACCTTGAATTCCCTTGACTTTTATCTACTACCAATTTGCTTTGACCGTTAATAGTTCAGATTCTTGTAGGGCAGGGGTCCCTTATCTGTGGACCACAGCCCACTACCAGGCCACGGCCTGTTGGCCACTGGGCTACATAAGTGGCTGGTCAACTCACACAAGCGTTGCCACGAGCATTGTGGGCATTCATAGCCCCCTTGTGCAAGCATCACCACAAGCTTCGCAGGCGTTCGCGGCTCCACTCGTGCAAGCGTCACCATGAGCATTGTGGGTGTTCATGGCCTCACTCACACGAGCAACAGGTATTTGCACTCACGCACATGTGCACCCCCCTACAAAGCCATCTTTTCTTTTTCCCCTACCCCCAACTTTTCGCCAACCCTGAAAAGTTGGGGAACTCTGTTGTAGAGAGCTTTAGCATACAACAAACCTATATATTCATTTGAACTGCCTGGACTCCTGATTTTTCTGTGCTTGACATTATTCCACCTGAGATTAGATTCACTCCCATGCTTGTTTTCCTGAAAATCATTGAAACCTGGCTTTTCTAGACAGACTTCAGAATAGACCAGTGATGTTGGGAGAATCTTTTGATATGGGTTTATATGTTGCAGTTGTTCCCTGAGTTACTGTTGTATTAGTTTAAACCAGTGTTTCTCAACCTTGACAATTTTAAGGCATGTGGACTTCAACTCCCAGAATTCCACAGCCAGCAATGCTGGCTGTGGAATTCTGGGAGTTGAAATCCACATGCCTTAAAATTGTCAAGGTTGAGAAACACTGGTTTAAACTATTTGTTAAAATAATTTACAGTAACCTACTTAAAAGAAACATCTTATACTTTAGAATGCACGTAAATGCAATCTGAAAACTACCAAAATTAATGTTACAATAGTAGGATAAAATAATCAAATCCTACACAAACCTACTAATCAAAAAGGTCATCAGACCTTCACAGAAGTGAAGGAGGGAGCTGATTCCGAATAACAGGACTAGTTCCCTAAAAGCCCAGAACTGGAGACCACAATTCTGGAATCAGAAACAGAAGACCCTGTCCAGAAGAATATGAAAAATGAGTAAGGTTGTAAGACACATTAAGGACAGACACTGGAGTTGTTATGACCAAAGGGCAATAAAGATACTGATCAGTAGGACTGAAGAGTCCTGAGAAATACCAAAACAAGTGTTCAAAGTCCAGAACAGCCCTACTTTAGACTAAGAATCAAGTAATGAAGGAACTTCTATTGACTTATGAGTACAGGTAGTCCTCAACTTATCACAATTCATTTAGTGACTGTTCAAAGTTACAGCGACACTGAAAAAAGTTACTTATGACCATTTTTCACATTTACCATCATTGCAGCATCCCCATAGTCATGTGATCAAAATTCAGATGTTTGGCAACTGATTCATATTTATGACGGTTGCATTGTTCTGGGATTATGTGTCCACCTTTGTGACCCAATAAGCAAAGTCAATGAGGAAGCCAGATTCATTTAATGATAATGTTACTAACAACTGCAGTGATTCATTTAACAACTGTGGTAAGAAAGTTTGTAAAATAGGGCAAAATTTACTTAACAAATGTCTTACTTAGCAACAGAAATTTTGGGCTCAATTGAGGCCGTAAATTGGGGGCTACCTGTATAGTAGATTTGTTGGGAGGGAAATTAATTTACATGGGACTAAGACTTTTTATTTGGGAGATAAATTCCCAATATCAGATAAAGTATTGTTTTACAAATAACTTAATGGAAAGATTAGTAGGTGTTGTCATACACCCAAGGAAATTATTTGTCAGAATGTTGGTATCATGGGCTTCCACATTGAAAGACTAGGATTAGAGTATTTCTCTCCAAAGTTACATTTATTTTTTCTCTTATTTTGTTTATCCATTTGTCCTCCGTCATAGTGAAAATGTGGCAATACATGCTTGTGGCCTCCTAGTTTTAGAGGAACCAAAACCTGTGGCTTGAATATGTCACAACTGAACACTCATGTACATCCTATTGAAATCTTTGAAAAACAGACTGGATTGGGACAAACACCAATATTTTGCTTTCCCCACACTCAAATATAGTCTGCGGGTAATTTTATTTTATTCTATTTTCACCCATAATAATTTATATCCCATGTAAATAAAGTATTCTGTTTACTTATTGTTCATTTCATTTATTTCCTGATTCTCTGATTACCAGATGTTTCTTGGTATCTTTATATTTTTCTTTTTCAGACAAGCCAGACATGAAACCTATGCAGAGCTCACCCA